TGACATTTTCACAATGTTCAATCTTCCTATCCATGAGCATGGGATGTTCTTCCATTTATTGTTTTTTAATACTTTGAATAGGTCTTTTGCAGCAGTTTTGCCCAATGCATTATGTCATTTAATTTCTTCACTGCTGCTCCGCTGGACCTAGACTTTGGACCCAAGTAAAATGAAATGTACATCCTTAGGGAAATCTAAGACCTCCTCCTCCCCTTCTGAATTAGCTGTCCCTTCTCCATTCTCTTAGCACCTCATAATTTTCCCATTTCAGAATTTACTTAATGTTGTATCAATGAGCCCTGCAGACAATAAGGTAGTAAATCACCAGCGTAACATATTATCTGATGCATAATAGTTTCTAGCTAAATACTTTTGAATGAATGAGAATATCTGAAATTATGCATATTTAAAGTTGTTGCTTGTAGATTCCATCTCATAATGTGAATGTCAGACTTGTTGTAGGTTTGTCTTTAACATGTGTGATTATAGCATCCCTAAATTAAAACTTTACTTATGTAATATGACAGTTCAATAAATTCTTAACCTACATAGCACATAGGTTAATTTATTCTATGCCTACAACAATTCTGTACAGTTAATCACACATACATTATTATCATTTCATAGGTGAGATACCATAGCTTAATACCTGTCAGATTAAGGAACTCTGGTAGCATGGCATTTGACTCTAATCAGAAGGTTGGTGGTTCAAACCCACCAGCTGCTTTGCAGGAGGAAGATGAGGCAATCTATTACTGTAAAGATTTACTACCTTGGAAACCCAGCGGAGGTTGCTGTGGGTCTGAATTAACTCAATGACAGTGAGTTTGGGGTTTTTTTTTTTTTTTTTGGTCAGATTATCATCTTACTTTTTAATCTATCATTATTTCTTAAATTTATGCCATACTTGATTCACTAGTTTTTTTATTTTACAGCTTGTCCCATTCCTTTCCTATCCAACCAGAAGGTAAACCTGAGAGTAAATATAGATAGCATCTACCACAAAGATTAGAAATTCAGATACATAATGTTTTATAGCAATACTATATTGATAATTTTATACTATTTGAAGTTGATTGATCGGTAGGAGAGGAGGGTGATGGGACTTCAGTTTCACTCATTTTCTGCTTTGTGTCTAGATAATAAAAGGGTATCCTAAATCAAAAGTCAAAATTTTTGGAAGCAAGGTGATGCAAGCAAAAGCAAAAGCAGTAATAGATACACTTGTTAAAAAGCAAGAAGAAAATTATTATTCAGAATCCAGAGTTGGTAAGTAATTTTTGCTGACTGAAGCCCTTTATATTTTTAAAGATTTATTTGAATGTTATGAGCCTCTAATAGCTGATTCCTTTCCTGATACAAAGGCTTAAGTTGCTGTAAATGAATCTAGTCTGTTACAGATTGTTTTAATATATATATGAAATTTTTCTTTTATAAAATGCCAGACTCCTCCGAATACGACTCGAATCTCTGTGGTTAAGCATAGCAATTTTACTTTTAGCCACAAATAATTGAAAAACTAAATAATCTCTTAAAACATCCCATATTGATGGTAGAGCAAGAATTGATCCAAGCATCCTGACTTTTTGGTCTCTTTACTAGATCATGTCATTGTCTTTGAAAAATGCCTAATTATCTGATATTTTTAAAATCTCAAATCTGTGATTTTGGTTTTATTTAGCCCATTTTAAATTTTTATTGATTTGAATTTTTATTGTGATTTGGGTGAAGGTTTACAGAGCAAATTAATTTTCCATACAGCAGTTCATATACATTTTGTTTCATGACACTGACTGCAATTCCCCACAATGTGACAGCACTCTTCCCATTTTCTCCCTGTGGTTACTTCTTTCCTGGGTTCTTCTTTCCTATGCATTCCTGTCCCCTGAGTTATCTCCCTGTGCAAACACTGCCCTTCTGTTCTCCCACGATTGCTGTAAGGACTGTATCTACCTGATCTAAATGTTCACCCTATATGCCTGTTTATTGTTTGGCTGGAAGCCACAGGAGTGAGTTCAATTCCAGACTTAAAGGGTAAGTGGGGGCCATAATCTCAGGGGTCTCACCAGGCTCTATCAGACCAGTAAATCTGGTCTCTCTCTCTCTTTTTTTTTTTTTTTATGATTTTGAGTTTTGTTCCACCTTGTTCTCCCACTCTATCAAGGATCTCCTGTCTAGTTCTTCTGGTTTCATGGTCATATAGGCTATAAAATCTCAAATATATTTGGAGAATAAAAAAGATATTACTAAACTATAACCAGAAATAACAGGAAAATAAAAAGAATAGAAACTTGGGTTCAGATTGCAGAGTTACTGCTTAGTGTTTGCTGTGTAGTAAATTACATAGTATGGTTTTTCTAGCCAAAGTCTTAGTAAACTCCATGGTGGAATTTTCCATGAGCAACTGAGTAACTCAGGATTGGTAAAATTATCCACTTGGTGTATTTCTATTGGAGCAGAATGAAGCAATCTTCTGGGAAGTTCGCTGTCTCTCAGGTGTATAGAATTCTGATGTTGGCATTTGTTAGTTTTACTACTCTGCCAGGCTTAAAATGAGCCCTTGTAGAGGCAGAAGGAGTCTCTCTGACTGCCGGCTGAGAGACACGCTGCTGAGAGAGGTGCACCTGCTGAGAGAGAGATGTGAGAGAGATGCACTGCTGAGAGAGAAATACGTGCTGCTGAGAGAGAACGGCTGGCTGCTGAGAGAGATGGCTGGCTTCTGGGTGAGACAGCTGTCTGGGAGAGACTGAGTGCATTCCTGAACTTGAATTGCAGCCTGTTGCTTCCCTAGTAAACCCCATAATCTGTGAATTCTGTGTGGCCACTGTAGTAAATTATCAAACACAGCAGAGAGGAGGTGAGTGCCGTGGGAAAAACAGTTGGTGTCAAGGTTAATAAGAGGGCTGGAGGGCCTCATAAGAACTGGCTTTGTGCTGCTGATGGTGATTCTGTCTTCCTCTTGTGGAATTAGAGGAGGTCAGATGATGCTGCCTCCCTGCCTCTTTAGCAGTGTTTCTATGGCTCCATTTCTAAATCTGTTAACCCAGGGTAACATCTGCCTCACAGGATTATTGTAAAGATTAAGCAATGTGTGTGACATATTTTGGCACACAGTCAGTCTTAATCTGTTTTCCTTCTTTTCTCCTATAAATTAAAAAACAAAACCAAACCTTTTCTAGTTCATGAATGTGTTGTAGATAAATGATCACAAAAACTATGAACAGAATGGGCATTGTACTGTTGTGCAAAAAAATCCAAATGTTCTGTTTCAGACATTGTTGTCTGATTGTTAATGAACAGAAAATAGTAAAGTTGCTTTGGTAATTATGTACTGACAGGATTTGTGTATAAAACTAATTTGATAAACATATTTCATAGATACTGTTGCATCACAACCTTCTGCTGGAAGAAATGTAAGCACAGACGACAGTGTTGACACAGAAGATGAGATAGACTGGGACCAAATTCGAGAAGATGCTTTGAAATGGAAAAAACAAAAATGGGCAGGTTAGTGCTGTACCATAATGTTTATATGTGGTGTTGGTGGTTTCTTTTAACTGAAGTATTTATTCTCTATAAAAATATATTTTTATCTTAGTGATGAAACCTATATAAAAATTGAAAATAGTAAAATTGAAATGGTATTATAAGTTCCTAGGACATGATAGTTTCTCTGTCTGGGCTATTACTTAAGCTATAAATGAAAAATTTAATTATTAAACTTATTATTAAACTATACCTTGTCTTATTTGAGGTAATTCACTTTGAAAGGGTAATAAAATACAAAGAATATTAGACCCAAGGGAGAAAATGGAAGGAGAATAAGTACATGAACCATAAGTTAATGTTGTTGCTGTATTTGAGCAAAAATTGATCTTTGAAGAGACAAAGGTTTTTTTTTGTTTGTTTTGTGTTTTCTCTCATTTTATTTTTTTTAAATTTTTATTGTGATTTGGGTGAAAGTTTACAGAGCAAATTCATTTTCCATATGGCAGTTCATATACCTTGTGTCTCATGACATTGAGTGCAATTACCCACAATGTTAACAGCTCTCTTCCTACTTCCTCCCCATAATTCCCTCTTCCCTGTGTCCTTCCCTCCAATGTGCTCCTGCCCGCCCCCCAGTTTTCTCCCTGTGCAAACACTGCCCTTCTGTTCTCCCATTACTGATTGCTCCGTGTAGTGTGTGTACCTGATGTAAACGTTCAGCCCATATGCTTGTCTATTGTTTGGCTGGAAGTTTCTTTCATTTTAAATAAAACTTCTTACTTGGAGCATTATATATAGGGTATGTTTCACAGTAAATCCAGCCGCTAATTTTGGCTATCAGAAAGCAGCAATATAGCATCTTCTATTTTAAAATGCAAAAACTAGCACATAAACATGTGACCAAAGTACTAAACATGATAATTCCACAGACTTGGTCACCACTTGTGCATACTGATACATATTTTGGAGAGGTTTGAGATAGGGAGCCAGAGCAGTAAATTAAGTTTGGTAGACGTGGTTTTCTTATTTGTTTGTTTTGTTTTTCAACTAGTTTCAGAGAGTAGAATAAGGATATAAATTTAGTTCCTAAAATGAAGTAAATTTTAAAGAAAAGATAAAATAATGTCTACTGTGTTTGAGAGATGATTCATTGATTGTGGAGATTCTGTGTCTTATAAAGCATGTTTTCTTTTATTTTAAACTTTAACATTAAAGATCTCTTTTTTGGGTGAAAAATGTAATTGAAAGACAAACTAAAAAGGGAGATTGGTGAGAGACAGGCATAAGTGTAGACTTCCAAAGCTATATGTATGTAAGGTGAGCTTAGTATATTTTAATTTTCCTCCTGTAACTCTGCATAAGTGATAATGAAGTATAATTCTCATGAAATTTGATTTTTATCTTTCTCCAAGATTTGCCTCCAATTAAGAAAAACTTTTATGTTGAGACAGTAGAGACAAGCTCTATGTCACAAGTACAAATAGACAATTGGAGGTAGGTAGTTTTGTTTCTGTTACCTCTTTCTTTAAGTGAGCTTCTTGTATAATTATTAGTATTAAATTAACCTGTTAAGCAAAAATTTGGAATAATTGCCTTTGAAAACTATACCTTCCGTGTTTATTTAAGTGAAAACTTGGTTGTAGCCTATATTGGTAATGGTTACAAAGCATTATTAATGCCATTGATTAAATCACTAAATTATTCATGTGAAAAATGTTAAATTGGAAAATGTTCTGTTACTTTATTTTAACAGCAACAACAACAAAAACCTTGATTGCATCCTACAGGAGGTATTTTAGAGCACTGCCTTCAAGTAGAACTTTCTGTGGTGATGGAAAATCATCTGTATCTGTCTCTAATAGACTAGTCACTAGTCACATGTAGTTGTTGAGCACTTTCAGAGGATAGAGCACTTGGAGGATTATTTTTCCAGCTGTTATAAAATAAAAAGAAATTGATCTGGTATCTAAATATTAGGTTAACTTCCCGAACTCTAATCTTTGTTATCTGGAATAGCTTCCCCCCCCACCCCACCCATTTTAAGTCTCTGTTATAAATCTAAGACATTGATGTATGGTAGAAAGAATAGTTATTTATGGGCAGGATAGGGCTCAGACCATATCCTGTCAAAGGAGAAATTTCTACTTCACAGGATCATTGAGGCTCAATTAAGAAAATATGTGAGGCCCAGTACAGATTCTGGAACACTGTAGGCCCTCAAATATTGGCCAAACCTGATTTTGAATTGTGAAATTTATAATATTTAGGCTCTGTCCTTCATAATCTTTGATCCATGAAACTTTCATCAGCCCATTAATACTTAACAATGTAAATTTTTTTTTCCTCCCCTTTGTAACTATTCTCAGATAAGAGAAAGAAGTATGTTTCTGGTTGTTAGTTATTATCTTTCACTGTCACTTTCCATGACAGTATGTTTTGATCTGTTGCAGTTGACTTTCTAGATATGACCTGAACTACTTTGGGGAAAAGTTCCTTTCTCAGTGAGTAAAATGAATGCAGCCACTAATCTTTGTTTTATTTTTCTTTAAAGAAAGGAAAATTATAATGTAATGTGTGATGATTTGAAAGATGATGAAAAACGTCCTATCCCTAATCCTACCTGTAAATTTGAGGATGCTTTTCAATGTTATCCTGAAGTTATGGAAAACATAATAAAGGCAGGTTTTCAAAAACCAACACCAATTCAGGTATAGTTTTCCTTAATTCTAACATTTCACTGAAGTTGTTTTCCAAAGCAATGCTATCTGATTGTTAGAAGTTAAATAACCAGGGAGCATCTGTTTCTTTTGAACATTCCCATACTACCTCCCGAAATCCATAATCATTGAGTTGTTTCCAATTCATGGTGACCCTATGTTTTACTGAGTAGACTGCTTATTAGGGTCTTAACTATAATCTTCACAGAAGCAGATCACTAGAACTATCTTCCCTGCTGCTTCTGGGTGGGTTTCAACTGCCAACTTTTTGGTTAGCAATTGTCAGCTTGGTTTCTCTAGAGAAGCAAAACCAGTGAAGCTTGTGTGTGTGTGTGTTTAGAGACAGAAAGATTTATCTGAAGGAAATGGCTCATGCCATTGCAGGAGCTTGTAAGTCCCAAGTCTGTAGGTTGGAAGTCAGGCTGGAGACTTCTCCTGACTCATATACTGCAGAGGCTGATGAATCCAAGATTGACACATTAGCTGGCTCACAGGCTGTGGAGAATAACTAATCCCAAAGTCAGCGGACAATAAGGCAGGCCACTGGCTCAAGTCCAAAGAACTGAAGGTCAGATGACAATGAGCCAGATGCAGAATCAAGACTGAGCAAGATGCTAGAGAACTTTGTGAGAACGTCCATATATATTGGATGCAGGCCACACCTCTGAGAAAACTCCTTTTTAACTCATGGCTGCTCATAGCAAATTTTATCATAGAGGTGATTACATTATCAGATCTCATCATGAGGGATGACTACATCATCATATAACTTCCAGACTGCATCATAACTGCCAAACCACATCTTTAACCATTACAGCAGTGGAGCACAAACTGTTAATGTTACCAGAGATATACTGCACAAATTGTTTATTGAAGTTTTGGGTTGAGCAAGGAGGGACAATTAACAAAAAGAGATGCACTTTTTGTTTTAATATTTATGATTCTGTTTCAGTCACAAGCATGGCCAATAGTTCTTCAAGGAATAGATCTTATAGGAGTAGCCCAAACTGGAACGGGGAAGACATTGTCCTATTTAATGCCTGGATTTATTCATCTTGACTCTCAACCAGTGTAAGATTTCCTATGACTGGGTTCTCTTTTAGGGGTTTAATAAATATAGACACCAAAACTGCAATTAAAGTTTCTTTCATCTATTACATTGGTCAAAAAGAAATTGGTCAATACTAAATAGCTGTAAAAAATAATGATGAGTTCATAAAACATCTTATAACATGGATGAATCTGGAGGGCATTATGTTATGAAATAAAAGTAAAAAAGGACAAATACTGTATGATTCCACTTTTATAAAAAGACATAGGTATACATGCAGAAATCAGCAATCTTGGGGAGTTCCCGGAGGTGGGAGGGAGGAGGAATCACTCTCTAGACAATAGACACTTGTTATTTTTGGTGATGGAAAAGGCAGTACCAAATGTGGGTGAAGTGTGCACAACTTGATCAAGGTTAATGATGACACTAAGAAGTACACAAGAACAAGGAATGTTATTGGTAAATGCTATAACATACACAATTTTACAACAATGGTAGTAACAACCAAAAAAATATGTGATTGTTTACATAGGTAGAGATATATGTGCATATATGTTTAAGAAGGTATTATGTATATATATGTATGCAATAGAAGTATATCTATAGGAATATTCATACATGTGTGTGTGTGCTGCACCTATATTCATATATATAATAAAGCACATAGGGGGCACAGTCGTGGATACTTACCATATATAACCAAGCATCTCGTAAGACTAGCATCCTGCATTTGAAGGTTTAGTACCATGGGACAGCTCAGTCAGTTGGCATAAGTTATTCCTAAAATTTATGTTCTGTGTCCTAGTTTGGTAGGTAGCTTTTGGGGTCCTAAAAGCTTGTGAGCAACCATCTAAGATACAACTATTGATCTCCACTTGTCAGGAATGAAAAAGAAAGGAGGAAACCAAAAACTCAAGGAAGAAATTACAAGACTAATTGCCTACAAGAACCATGACTTCATTTATCCTGAGACCAAAAGAACTAAATGGTGCCCAGCTACTACGGCTGAACATTCCAACCAAGGACACATTAGATGGTCCTAGTTAGAATGAGAAAAAGTTACAGAATAAAACTCAAATTCTTTTTTTTTTTTTAAATAGTGATTTGGGTGAAAATTTACAGAGCAAATTCACTTTCCATGCAGCAGTTAACATACACTTTGTCTCATGACATTGACTACAATTTACCCCAATGCAACAGCTCCCATCCCACTTCCTCCTAATAATTACCTCTTCCCTGTATCCATCCCTCCATGCACTCCTGCCCCCTGAGCTCTCTCCCTATGCATAAACAGGCCACCTTTCTCCCATGATTGCTCTCTCCAAGGAGTGTATCTACCTCAGGTAAATGTTCAGCTCATATGCCTGTCTTTTGTTTGGCTGGTAGCAACAAGTGTAGGTTCAATTCCAGACCTGAAAGGCAGCCAGGGACCATAGTCTCAGTGGTTCCACCAGGCTCTATAAGACCAGCAAACCTGACCCCCCCTTTTATTTTTCCCAAATGATTTTGAGTTTTGTTCCACATTGTTCTCCCTCTCTATCCAGGATCTCCTACATAGATCCCACTCTAGGTGGTTGACAGTGGTAGCCGGGCGCCATCTGGTTCTTCTGGTCTCACAGTCATATAGGCTGCAGATTACATGGTGTACCAGTCGCTAGGACTAATTGTTTCTATGGATCTTTGGTTTTCTTCATTCTTCTTTGCTCTGGATGAGGAGAGACCCATTGTTGCATCTAGATGGCTACTTGCAAGCTTTTAAGATCTCAGTTGCTACTCGCCAAAGTAGGAGGTGGAACAATGTTTTGTGTAGTATGTTATGCCAATTGAG